CCGGTCCCCTGAGAACTGTGCAGCACAGCACCCACATTGTCACCTTGCACCTCCAGCCTGTCCCATTCAGGGACACTTTACAGGACACTTGCAGTCAGAAAACTCATCATCATCTATGACCTTTGGTGGCATCTCCTACAGGTGCCTCTGGAATCCCAGTTACTGCTGCCACATTGGGAAGGTGAGAGAAACTGTTGATATGCACAGTGTGACTGTGAGTCAAACAACTCAAATGTACCTCAGTATTGATGCTGGCCTTGTTCTGAACATCAGTACACACAATTAAAATGCCACGCTGTTTGCAGTTTTACTTAGATTTCCTGTACTGAGTTAGGTTCACAGTTTCTATTCTACTCCCACCAGTTCTTGCTTTGCCCAGCAGGCTGTTACCCTGCAGAAGCTGAGTACATTCAATGTTTTTAGTCTGCTCTAAATGGTCTTATGGTCAATGGCCTATTGATACAGAAATCATTAAAAAGAACGACCACAGACACCTACCAAACAGGAGAACTTGGCAATTTTGTTAATATTTTTTTTCAGAGAGACTTTCTCTACAGAGGTGACATTTTTACATCAGAAGATATCAAACAGCTTGCATAAAGACTGATTTTCTTCTTCATTATACTGATACTCAGTTCTAACTCTCATTCAGCTGACATGAATTAGATGAAAAAAAAGTTGATGTGCCCACAATATTTTAATTCAAAATAACTTTGTCCATGTACCTGTGACAGAAAATGACAATGGAATCTACTCTGTTTTCTCGTTATACTTGTGTCTGTCTTTCTGCTAAGGCCTTGAGAAGCAATCTCAGGCTAATACTTTCTACTTAAACACCTCGAAATCTGTCTAATCACAAAACTCACCACGCTGATGAAATCACTCCTTGTGAAATGACTTAAACATTACTGAGTACACGCTGCTGTGGGGATTTCTGTATCCATCTCTGCTGCTGCAGATCATTCCTGCTATCAACAGCATCGTTTTAAACGTACACGGATATAGGAAACGAGTTATTCAGGGATTTTTTTATGTTTAACTCTGGCATATTTTGCTACATATCTTGGACTTATTTTGAGGGCTTATTTCCTGCTTTGCTCCGAGTGAAAGTCCACGCACTCCGTTCATTTGCTTAGAACACCGTAGCTGCCTATAAAGCCCGCGGGCGCTCGCAGCATCCCTGGGAGGGACGCAGCTCCCCGCCGGGGCTGAGCAGCCGGGGCCGGCCGCTCCCCCGCCCGCGGGCACGGGTCCATCCCCGTTTGTCACCGGGCGCCGATCCCGCCTCCCGGAGCCGCAGGTGCGGAGGCGCTGCCCGTGGAGCGCCGCGGGGCCGGGCGCGCAGGTGAGGCGGCGGGTCCCGGCACCGCCGGCAGCCCTCGGCGCTCCGCAGCGCCCGGCCGGGTCCCCCCGCTCCCCCGCCCGTGTCCCGCCGCTCACCTCGGCCCGCAGTCCCGCCGCGTCAGCAGAGGGGGCTCCCCGCGCCCCCCGCGCCGCCGCTCACGGCGGCGATCCGGCCCGACTGCCCCTTTTGTCCGCCCGCGCCCCGCCCCGGCACGGCCGCCCCGCCCCGGGGACACCGCCGCCACCGCCGCCATCCCGGTCGCCGCCACCGCCGCCCCTGCCCGCCCGGCGCTGCCGCCGCCGCGGGGCGAGCGGGGCTGACGGCGCCGTGCGCCCCGGGGGAGCCGGCGGGGCGGGGCGGCGCCGGGCTCGGACGCCCCCGGTGGGACGGAGCGCTGCGTGGCGCCCTGGCCAGCGCGGCGTGCGAGTGTGAATGAATCTCGCTCCGACGGAGATGCCAAGTGGCGTGAGCAGGCCCTGCGGACACCTTCTGCAGTCAGACAACTCAAATGTACCTCAGTATTGATGCTGGCCTTGTTCTGAGCATCAGTACACATAATTAAAATGCCACGCTGTTTGCAGTTTTACTTAGATTTCCTGTACTGAGTTAGGTTCACAGTTTCTATTCCACTCCCACCAGCTCTTGCTTTGCCCAGCAGGCTGTTACACATTGTCTCGCTGTGGGTCCGTGTGTGTTTTTTCAGCAGGATCCCGCGCGTGCTGGATTCCTTTTGATTTGGGAATGTGGTGGTGGTGTTCACTTTTAAACAGGGAGGAGCAGGCTTTCCTCTCAGTTCGGTTTACTAACAAAAACACACCTGCATCCTCAGCTGTCTCGAGGGTACCTGAGGATAAAGGGTGTGGAGCAGAGAACACTTCTGTTGCCTCCCCGGCAGCACAGCCAGTGCAGAGGTACTGAGAGGTTCAAGAGTGAGAGATCTGCTGAAACGCTATTGACACCTTGTCCAAAGGGTTTAGTGAGGTCATGGGACTTTCGGTGTTTTTCTTTTGTGCTGGTGATAGCAGTGTTGTGATTCAGTCAGTATCACCCATCACTAGAGAGTACAGTGTACTGCAAAAGAACTCTAAAGAACCACCCCCCCTATTGCTCCACACTTTATTGTCATGTCAAACAGGAGACTTCACCAGGTACTGTTTGAGAGCGGACTTTGCCCTCTATTTATAGTGTGATTTCATCTCTCTGAGTGAAGGTAAACACCAGGAGAAGGAGAACAGCAGCATAAACACAGCACTCCACCTGGAGCTGGGATGTAGTTAAGACTTTCCTGGCTAAGTTTTTAAATGTGTAAAAGTGTTTGCCTGTGTTGTGTGTGTGTATTGTGCAAACCACTTCTTTCAGCACTGTGTAGTAGAACCTCCCTTATCTACCCGCTTCAAGCACCATACAAGAGGTTTACTCATCTGTAAAGTGAACATGACAACGCTTGTCTTCCAGCTCATGCCAAGGACTGTTATGTGTTTACATTCGCACATGCTGGAAGAAAATTGCCTTGAAGGTACAATATAATAAAAGGTAAATTAACCTCTGCACTATCACTGCTTGCAATGACTTTCTTCTTTTCACCACTTCTGATATTTCCATTCTTGTATTTACCACTTCAAATCAATAACAGTTCCTCTCTTGAAACCAGGCTGAATTTTGCACATACACCTAACCTTGTGAGTTGCTTCAAGCTTAAAATAAAATACCCAAATGTCATCACAGGAGTAATTTCTGTCACAAAGATAGCACACCAGGGCTGCCACTGCATTTCCTGATACAATAATAGTAAGCATCACTGAGCTGCTCTCAACGTACACCCCACATCCCTTTTTTAACAATAATGTTAAAAAGTGGAGATGCCTTTACATTGAAAACCACAGCATCTATTATTAGCTGTGATGTAACACTGTCAATGTAAATTTCAGAGAAAGAGCGAAACAACATCTAATGCTATGGAACCATAACTATTAAAAACCTGCTGAATTAAGCTAGAAAACTCTTATAATAAAAAACAACAACAACAACAACAAATACTGAAAAAAACCCCAACAACTGTTTCTAGCCTTAATGAAATATTTAATACATTTAAAAAGCGAACTTCCTTTCAGCTTTCCTCTGAGGTATGATGGATGCAGGAACAAAAAAGGATTGGCCAGCATGAAGATTGAGGCTCACTTTTCTCGCTGTCAGCTGCCACAGCAAACATACCTTCTCGATGGAAAGAAGGCTGTGAAGGCTGCTCTCTTCTGCTGCCAGAGGTATTGTGCTAGGAAATTTCCACTGCACGTGGCCATGCACGTGATGCTGCATTTTGCAGCTGCTTTCAGAGCTAAACTAGGGAATATTTAATAGCTCTGGTTATATGAATTATTAAATTAACTCTTCCCTTGTAGTTGCATCCTTGAAACAGCCTATTACCGTAGCATCACCTGGCAAATCATAATGTATATTTATTCTACTCAGATTATTTGGGGAATTAGGAATTTGCTGTATTCTAACATATTGCTAGCTGTTTATTTCAGCTACTTTCTTAATGTATATATTTTAAAATTAGTCTTACAGAGACAAAGTAAGTGCTAGATGTAATTTGTCTTTACAGAGTCTCCCTCAAAGACTTTTCACATCTCTGGAGTTCACTATGCAGTACCTTATTGTTTTGGGCACAGAATCTTGGTGACCTTAATATATGGCACGTGTCTTAATAATCTCTTTTTGGCAGGATTTTTGTATGCGTAGATTAGGCTTCTCTGCACAAGAACTAAACTTGCACCTTGTTGTGCATTATTTTTCTCACTCAGTTCTCTCTCGGTGTGAATTAGAGCTGCTGACCACGTTGTTTTTTGTCATCGGCACAGGTTTTCCAGAGCAGCTGTGGCTGTCGCATCCCTGGCAGTGCCCAAAGCCAGGCTGGATGGGGCTCTGAGCAACCCGGGATAGTGGATGGTGTCCCTGCTTTGAGATCCCTTCCAAACCAAACCACTCTGTGGTCTGTGATGAAATTTTTGGCTGAAAACTTCCCTGCTTCCTTTGGACAGGACCCATACAAGAGCAGCCATTCCTGCAGCTGTACAGCGAGGAACATTTCAGCACCTGACGGGCTCAAACACGGACTTGAGCTTTGGCACCTGGGCGTCCCTGCGGGTTTTACACTCTGGTAACATCCGGGAAGGTTTCGTCAGGCCATGGCCTTTAACAGACCCGCGTTTACTCATGGGCTGTTTGTTAGAGACCCGTTTCCCGACCATGGGGCGGGCCCAAGCCGCAGGCGCTTGAGACCAGAACGACAGCAGGGACAACCCTGAGGCGACAGCAGGGACAACCCTGAGGTGACAGAGCAGGGACAACCCTGAGGTGACAGAGCAGGGACAACGCTGAGGCGACAGAGCAGGGACAAGCCCGAGGCGGCAGCACAGGGACAAGCCCGAGGCGGCAGCAGGGACAACGCTGAGGCGACAGAGCAGGGACAACTCTGAGGCGGCAGCACAGGGACAACCCCGAGGCGGCAGCAGGGACAAGCCCGAGGCGGCAGCAGGGACACGCCCGCGGTGGCCGGCGGGGCCCGGGGCGGTCCCGTCCCTCAGGGGAGCGCGGCCGCCCCGCCCCGCCCGCACACAAGATGGCCGCCGGCGGCCCCGCCCCGCGGCGGCGGAACGGGCGGGGCGATGGCGGCCGGCGGGGGCGGCCGGGGCTGAGGGGAGCGGCGGCCGTGCTGCCGCCGGCAGGTGAGCGCGGGGTGGGTTGTGGGTGTCCGCCCTTCCCCGACAGCCCCTCTACGCATCCCTCATCCCATCCCCTTCCTCCAGAGCCCCGTACCTGTCCCACATACACCATACGCACATACCCAGCCCACACATCCCCATCCCCACACATAAACACCCCACACACATCCCCATCCCCACACATAAACACCCCACACATAAACACCCCGCACATCCACATCCCCACACATAAACACCCCACACATCCACATCCCCACACATAAACACCCCACACATCCCCATCCCCACACATAAACACCCCACACATCCACATCCCCACACATAAACACCCCACACGCAGAAATGCACACCCCTCCATCCCCCCAAACCCACCCGCGCACGCACAGCCATCTGCCTATTTCCAAAGTTTTCCTGGGCTCCTTCTCCTACCTAACTCTTTGGGAATCTCGCAGCAGGCCCCCCTGGCCTCCTCTGATGGCACAGCCAGAGTGGATTTTCCAGCAGTGAACTTAATAATGAAGCACAGCTACATTTTGTACTGTTGGAAGGAAAGAGATTTTTTGGGTCGGGTGCCAGAGGCACAGCTTCACCTTTATTTTGCAGTGTGGAAAGTCTGCCATCAGCACCTCTGGCTCCTTAGAGTGGCAGTGATGCCAGTCAGGCTGCTTCTGGATCTCAGTTCATCAATTTGGGAGCAGTCTGGGCAGGAAAGGGCTGCTGTGCCTCTGTCATATGCCTGCTGGCTCTTGAGTAGGAGCTGTGGTGTCTTGGCAAGGATTTGACTTACTACAGATATGCTGTGTTATGCACCTCTTCTTTGATGTTTTGTGAAGCTAAGGATCTCGGCTGACCAGAGGTTTGAATGTGTAGCTATCTTGTACAATCTGGTTGGGTTATCTAGAATACCTATTTCCAGATTAGAGAGGATTCCTCTAGAAAAGTGCATTGTGTTAAAATTATTTTATTTGTTGTGCGTTCTTGTTTGTGGGTTTCGGTGATCAATTTGTACAAAATTGGAAGATTTTGTTTGCAGGCCGCTTAAACATCATCTGAGATTGATTTAATTCTGCAGAAGCCAAGGATGAATTTCCAGTCTGCCTTCAATCCATCTGTAGCAGGAGGTATAGGTGAGGAACCAAAATCCCAGAACAGGAAAGAAATTGTGCTCTTGTAATTTTTCTTTTGATTTCTGGTAGAAGCTGTCTCCAGTGTTTAGCTTTGGCTTAATTTTAGCTCACCTTCCTGTGTGTAAATTGCTCAAGGAGTCAGAGAAACAGGTATAATGTTAGGTTTGAATTTTGGTGAAGAAATTTGGTTTAAAGCCTTTTGAAAAGTTTACATTGTGGTTGGTTAACACCATTGTAGCCTTTAATGCATTTCCTTTTGAAGGGACAGTTGTATTGCAAACAGACTAATCCCTGAATTTTTAAAACCACAACAAGGTAGTGTGTGGTATTACTGAGTCACTGATTGTGGGTTATACAAACTTCAGTACAAATAAGTTAATTGTTTCATTTACTTTCACTCTGGTAATATGTGGAAGACCTAGAGAAGGAGCATGACCTTGTAGAACAAGGGGTTCTATAAAAGCACACCCAAGAAGACCAACCCTGAGCCTTTGTGTACTCTTTTCTAGCTAAGCTTAATTTCAGATGCCTTTACCAACATGAATAAAAATATGTGTGTCCTAAACTTTCTAAAATTGAAGTTTGTTAGTAAACATTTTGACCTTGTAGGATTTGGCAGGATAAATATTCTATGTGGGATTATTTGGGTTATACCTCCCATTAAGAAGCAATAGGGGCCTGAGCTTGGTGGCAAATGCACATTTCCATCTCTAGTCCTGGACGATGAAGACGCCTTGGATTCCAGTCCAACACGTTGCTTGCAGAAATGGCATTAACATTAAACTGAATTAACATTCATTAATTACATTACTACATTTAGTAAAGGTGATTGTATATTTTAATTTACTTTTCAATGGAAAATTTCATGTAGAAGGGGCAGTAGATGGTGTTGCTTGTGGTTGTGTGATAACCCAGCTCTCTCCCATTCCTTTGCACGGTGAGTTTTGTTCTTGGGAAAGTAATGTAAGTAACAATAACAAATGTAGGGAAAATAATATAAATATAGGGAGAGCCACCCCCTACCCCCACCCCTGTTAGGTTAGTGAGGAAGTGGGATGGGATGCCCACAGAAGCTGTGCTGTGTCTTTGGGGCTTTTCAAAACATAAATGGGCAAAGTATAAATGAGCAAACTGTGCACACCTTGTAGCTAACCTGCCCTGAGCAGGAGGCTGGGCAGGGAGACTTGCTGAGGTCCCTTCCTGCCAGAATGGCCGAGTGATCCTAACAAAGGCTGGCCTGGGCAAGTGAGAGATCCAGTGCAGAAAGTGACATCTGGTGTCAGGAGCTGAACTGCAGTTTGTAAGCACTCTTCCAACAGCCTGACGTTTAGGGAAATCCTCCAGTAAGGGTTTAATGATATCAGTTGCAAGGTCAGTAACTTTAGTTCCCTCCCCTGAGGTACTGCAAATCTTGATTGTTGATAGAGCATGTAAGAGATTTCTCTTGGAATCATGTTTTTTTTTATGCTAAAGGCACCATGTGATCCAGATGAACTCTCCTGCTTCAAAACAAAGCAAAAATATATGTTCCTAAGTTAGAAACAATGCAATGTTTGTATTGGTTCTTTAAACATTACCCAGTGTAGAATAGGGAGGTTCTATCAGTAATATATTTAAGGGAAGGTTTTGTGCCTGTTTATAAAAGGTGGGGAGTGTGAAAACTAGTATGTGCAGTTGTCCAGCTGAGAAGTGCAGGTTTTCAGTCTGAGCCTAGATGTTATTTTCCTTGGGTTTTAAACTAATATATTTATGTGAAAGTGTATTCTAGTTGCCACTTTTCTTCTGCTTTTACTTCCCTGTATCCTCCCCTGTTTTCAACTTTAAACTTTTCTGTATGAACAGGTTGATTCCACTTCAGGATAATGGCAGGAAAAGTAAAGTGGGTAACTGATATAGAAAAATCTGTTCTAATAAACAACTTTGAAAAAAGAGGATGGATTCAGGTGGCAGAAAATGAAGACTGGAATTTTTATTGGTAAGTATGCTACAATTGCCAATTTCTTTTATCAGTGTTATGGAAGCTTGCCCTGTTACCAGAGTCCTAGCTTCTGTAATAAACTGTACTTTCCTTCTCTTCATGATAATGATTTCTATCCAGGCTAATTATTCAACATTTCAATACTGAGAGTGAATGAGAATTTAGATCAAGATTGTGGTAAAAGGAGGAGAGTAAATAATCTTCTCGTTTGTTGTTTGTCTATTATAAGACCATGAAGTGCTGTCCTAGAATGCAGTAATCTATTAATGGGCAGAAACACTATTCTTTAAATAAACCAAGCAATTTATGATAATCTTTTCAAATACATCAACATGGCAGTTTGTGCTGCCAAATATACCCTTTGTGAGCCACTTATTTAAATGGACAGGAATCTAAATGGGCAGGAGTCTAGTAATCTGCTCATGCCTTTGGAATGTATTTGGGAGAGTGGGGAAACACTCATGGAAATTGATGTGTTTTGTTGTTTTGGGTTAGGTTTGTTGTTTTTTTTCCCTCCTGAAATGATAATGTAGCAGATTGCTGGCATTCAGGAAATAGTCTTAAATTTTCACATTGAGAAATAATATGGAAAATTCTTTGCATTTATGTCCCTGCTCTTATCTTCTGTGAAAAATATAGTTGATCACTGATTTAATGACTGCCACTGCAGCATTTTCGTCTGTATATAACTAAACAACACAGGTATTTTTAGGAAGATCACTTAACCAGTTTTCAAGTAATATGTTTGAATTCCTTTGTAATCCAAGTAGCAGGGCAGTCAGTAAGAGGTTGAGTTCGTGGCTTTTCTGAAGAGGAAAGGTGAGTTTCAAGATTGTGAAGAAACAGATTTAGAGAGAGGATTCTGTAGTATTTGGGTGCACTTCAGTCATTTTTAGGCCCTGCTGGGGATTGACCTGACTATCAACAAGCCACAGTCCAGCAGGACCCACTTGTCATCTTTCTGCCCTGCACCAGTTTCAGTAGTGACAGAGGGACTGATTAAGCCTTCAGCAGGATTTCATTTGCCCTGTTAATAGAACTTCAGGATATGTTGGAGCATAGCTGCAGCAAAATATTAAATATAGAGAGAAACGAGAGAGAGAGAGAAAAGATGAAGAAATTGGAGGGAAAAGTTCTCTAATTTTTCATCCTGAGGTGTGTTTCTTCAGAGAAATCACTTGGTGTCTGTCTTTGGTTTTAGGATGAGCGTCCAAACAATCAGGAATGTGTTCAGTGTGGAAACCGGTTACCGCCTCTCTGATGACCAAATTGTCAATCATTTCCCAAACCACTATGAACTGACCAGAAAAGATTTGATGGTAAAGAATATCAAGAGATACAGAAAAGAACTTGAGAAAGAAGGAAGTCCTCTTGCAGAAAAGGATGAAAATGGGAAATATATTTATTTGGGTATGTTGTTCTTATTTCTTAGAGAGTCACTAATGGGAATAGAGCCAGCTTTTTTATGCTTGAAGCACTGAACCTCTGGAGTGCTATGACATTAAAGTGGCTACCTTGAAGTGCTCTGTTTACTCTTTTGGGTTTGATTCATTTGGGGTTTCTCAAAAATTATTTTGGAGTGGGAAAATTGTGGGTTTAAGATACTTTGCAATTAGGTTAGTGCTGAAACCAAAGGGCTTTGCTACTTCATATGAGAGAGGGTTACAGTTTTTTTAATTCAAAAATGAAAAACTTACTATGTGAAAATCTTAAAATGGAGCAACAACTAAATCTTTTTGAAGGAAGGCTCTAGACAGAATTGAATGAACAAATACTTCAGAGGGGAAATTTGGGAGAAGTTGGGGAACTAATAATGACTGCTAAAAAATAAAATAAAAAGCAAACCAGACCAAAAAGAAAAAAAAACCCACAAGAAACTCAAACCCCAAAACTAAACCAAGAATAGATCAGGAATGAGGCAAGCAGAGTTGGTTTGGAGGTCAGAAAGCATTGAAGTGAAACAGAGTGAGATAGGTGGAGTTGAATTACATCTTGGAAAAGTGAAGGGCAAACACTTCATTCATGTAAGAAGGCAGGTCTTCAAGGATGGAATTGAAGATAATTTAATAGCAAAAAGTGAAAAATGTTTTTCTTTAGGTTTCAGCAGTCATGGTAAAAGAGAGTGTGGGAGCAAAGAAGAAAAATAGGAGTAGAGAATAAGATATAATAAATAAGAATAATGGGATTTACATGGAAATAAAAGGGGACTTTTGCCTGTACAGAGCATGATCAAGAATGGTGGAAGCTGATAGAGGAAAATGAGAAATTTTAATTGTTTTGTTGAAATCTTACCTAATTCTGTAATGGCACAGGAAGAAGAAAATCTATTCACATGAATTAGAATCTATTTCTATGAAGTTAGCATTGTGCAACATTTTGCAATTGTTTAAGTAAAAACCAGTATGTAAACGAGACAAAAAGCAACATGAGTCTTAATGAAGGTGGATCACGCCAGACTGGAAAACTGAAAATACAAACCTTTTCTTTTTAAGTCTTTATGTGTCAATAGCCTTATGAGATAGAGTGTCTTCAATTGTGCACCTTTTTTTTCCTCCTTAATTCAGATTTTGTTCCTGTGACTTTTATGCTTCCTGCTGATTATAATCTCTTTGTTGAAGAATTCAGAAAGAATCCCTCCAGCACGTGGATTATGAAACCTTGTGGCAAAGCTCAAGGAAAAGGAATATTTCTAATCAATAAACTCTCCCAAATTAAAAAATGGTCTCGAGACAGCAAAACATCTTCGTAAGTTCTTGAAACCAAACCCTTTATTGTACTTTGTGTAATTAGGTGAACTACATCACCCTGCTGATTGTCTGATGCATGGGGAAAGGTATGCCATTATTATTATTATTGCTTTGTCATTTTACAGTTAGGTTTGCATTTAATCTCAGTTGTTATCTGGCTTCCTCCTTCAACAGGTTATAATACAACTTGTTTTGGTATGAGGACGTACACACAACTGTTCAGTTAATATTCTTTATAAAATTGCTTTCAGAGTTTTTGGGGGAAAACTTGCACAGAAGGAAATTGTTCTGCTTCACAGTATTAAATACCAGGAAGCAAGTGAAAAATCTTCCCCTCAGCAATTTCGATAATGGTTTAATATATATTAAATCACTTTTTAAATTGATACAAAGGAAGAATGCATTTCTATGAAATAAATGTATTTTCCTTTTGGAACAAAAATAATACACATCATGTTGATGATCTCCTTCCAAATGGATGAAATAGGTTAGCAATTTTATATTTTTCTCTGACTAGGAATTTTGATCACACAACTAATGTTTTTTCCTGTGATCAAGTGACTGGCTGAATATCATTTGAGTATTTTCCTCCTGCTTGATTGGAATGTGAAGAATGTCACAATCTGAAAGTTATATTAACTTTTCACAGTGGTTTGCAATTGCACACCAAGCAGAAATGCAAATATTCCAGTAGTACAAGACCTTGAATAATGAAGACCTTGAATTCTTTTTGCTTGTCTGGACCTTGCCAAGCTCTAAATTCTCTTCAAGTGAAAAAGGTTGGCTTGTAGAGCTACATTGTGAATGGTTTGGTCAGCTACTGTGTGAGTTTAAATGGGTAATTGATCTTGGTCATCTCTACAGTATTTTTTTTTTTTGGTATATAAGACCTGATGCCAAGTGTGTATTGTTAACCACCACAATGTTGTAGGTTGTCTTGGCAAAAGATGCAAGATTTCAGTCAACTCAAAATTTACTTCTAAAGAAGTAAAAGACTTCAGGGATTGTATTGTTGCAAATACCATATTGTGAGACATGGTTTATGTTTTTCAGGTTTGTGTCTCAGTCTTCCAAAGAAGCCTATGTGATTTCACTGTACATCAACAATCCCTTACTAATTGGTGGGAAGAAATTTGATCTTCGTCTCTATGTTTTGGTGTCTACCTATCGTCCACTGAGATGTTACATGTAAGGTTGCTTGTCTTTGTATTTTGTTTAGAGATAATGTCCAGTGTAGTTAAAATAATGTTGTGCATGTTGCACAAGGAGGTTTAACCAGTAAATGGTATGCTAGGATGCTCACTTCCTTGCTTCTCACAGGGATTTAACACATTTTAATGACTTTTTGCATTTAAGGTATAAGCTTGGGTTTTGCCGGTTTTGCACAGTGAAATACACACCAAGTACAAGTGAACTGGATAACATGTTTGTACATCTTACAAACGTTGCCATTCAGAAACATGGGGTAAGTGTGCTGATGTCTTAGATGCTCTTTTGTAGCAAGACTGATTTTCTGTAATTGTACCAGAAACTTGGAATCCAAAGGTTTTGTCATACTCTTCATCCTCTTGCAATCAAAATACTTCACCTTACACGTACAAATAAATATATTTTAGAATGTAGACATTTTAGAAAACCAAAAATCAGAAGTCAAGATAATGAGTTGCAGCTCTGTAATTGAGTGTGATATTTTCAGTATTGACTCACAGTGGTTGAGAGCAGGGGTCTCCTTTCATTTAAAAGCCAATATGCTCACTTATGAATTGAACAATGAAATTCATGAGCTTGGATCATGTGGATATGTACTTTATAATAGTGGTTTAATATCCCCTTCCTCATTTCCCCTTCCTTCTCTCTCTCTCTGGCTGTTAATTCAATGTCTTCTTTCCAGCACTTATTCATCACAGGACTTTCCAGGTTCCTCCAGTGTTCCCCCAACCTCCTGCCCCTGCCTTCCTTCTGTGGGAAGCAAAGGGAATGTGCAGTTGCAAACTTGAGATAAATAAGTGCTGCCTGGCCATCTGGTGGCTTCCTCTTGCATGGACAGAGCTGGAGCTCTGCCTGCAGAGCAGTTCTGTACTGTAATTTGCCATTGATGCTCATGTGGAAACATGAGAGCTTTGATAGCCCTTCCTTATGTCAAAGTAGGCTGAAATTCAGCAGTGGGGAGGGAAGGTTAGTGGGGCAGGGGTGACATGGATGGGGATAAAGTGTCACTTCCCAAGCCTTGTTCCTTCAGGGAATGACTTGATGATGATTGTCCTGTTGGTGTTTTTAGCGGATGTCTGTGATTTACAAACCATACCTCTGGTACAGTCATTAAAACTCTATTGTTGCACTTCCTAATGCCAGAAGCTTTATTTTAATGGTATGGAAAATAACACATAAGGACAAACACACACATATATGCTCATGATTATATTAATGTAGGTATACACATGCTCTAATACACATGATATATGCAGTATATCTTAGGTTGAAACCTTGCTTAATGTCCTTTTTCTGCTACTGTTCCATAAGATGTGCAGTATAACAAAACTGGTTTTGTCTGGATATTGCTGTAACAACAATGTAAATGATTATGTTGATAGTTCTAAACCAGGATAAGTGGTCAAATATGCCATTTTTCAGTACTGCAGACATTTTATTGCTCAGGTGCTGATTTGTGAAGTGCTCCAAACATGTTTGGTTAAATGGGACACACTGAGAATTACTTTGGGTGAAACCAGATCCTATACAACTTTTAGAAAAGATCCTGGTGCTGTTGCCAGTGAAGATGTGAGGCACATGGTACATTACCTGCCTTGTTATTATGCACCCTTCCATCTTTACCAGTTAAAGAATGGCCTTCAAGATTTTTCCAAAGATAAGAGAAGTGACCCTGGCAGTGATGTCACTTAGAATAAAGGACAACAGAAATGGGTATAGAAGTAGCAACCTAAGAATGTGGAATTGTTGCTAGAATATTTGAAAAGCTTTTTATAAATTGTAAACCACTGATATGTGTTCAGTTTTTCAGAAAGGCAGAAGGGGAGTTTAATGTGCTATGCTACCCATCCCGTTTGTTGTGTTTTAAATGTGCCTGGAATTTTAGAGGCATTTAGACTGTACAGCTTTAGTCTTCTAAAACTGTACCTAATTTGAGCTGTCAGTAGTTTATAAAAATTATGATTAGGTGCTGGAAAATGCATGTGTAATACAAATAAAACAACAATATTTCTTATACATAATTATTTTCACTTTGTTTTAATGTCTTTAATGAAACAACTGTGGCTGTGTAAAGCTCTACCCAGTTGCAATCTGTTTTGATTTCAGTACTTGTTCTGAAGGGCAAGGAGGGCTGACACTTTGATTTCTGTTCCCTTGCTGGAATCTGGTCTCAAGACATTTTTCCCATGGAGCAAATCCTGAGAACCATGTTTCAGGTCTTTATTTGTACAGTCGGTTCTCCTAATTTACTAATGGGGGAGCTGTAGGAGAAAGCCTAATAATAAGATAGATGCTTCTCTGACCTTGTCCTAGACTATGACAGAATTTGTTCTTCTGAGAACCTTTTTCTGCTCTATGCATTCTGTGTTTTGTAATTTAGCAGGCATACAATCATTAATTGTCAGAAATGCTCTGAGGAGAACACTTTATAAAGGGACAAAGCATTTGTCCTGAGAGTTCCTTGAGGGCTGAACGTGTGCCTTTCCATATTGCAGAGCTTTGATAGCCTCTGGAAAGACAACATAAGGTAACCTCTTGTTTCCCCCTGTTCAGTTTCAGTAACACTTAGTGGGGTTTTGTATTTAATTACTTGAAAATTTTAACTTTTAAAAACAATTCAGGTGACATTTCACGATGTTCTTGAATGTAACTCTTATCAGTAGCACCATTAATAAGATAACAGGGAACAGACAAGTTGTACTTTAAATAAACAAACACAGACAAACATTTTCAAGTGCTGTATTTTACAACAGCTACCTTCAGCGTGTTGCTCATTAATTGTTTATTCCTTATCCCCAGAGGAGCAAAACATTCAGTTCTTTCCTTTCACATTTTAAAACTTCTATTTCCAAATCATAACTCACACTTTATTATAAAACTATGTCTAAGTATCCAGGTTTTTTTCTCCTAACAAAGATTTTTACTTGATTTACGATGTGTGTTACAAGCCTATTAGAGCTATAATAGAAGCAATTGTTTATGTAGAGGGCAGTTCAAAGTTGAGGTGTTCATAAAGCTGCAAGAGCAATTAGCCAGGTTTGTTTTTAGAGCAGTACTTGTAAATATAAGGGAACTTTTTGTGGAGATGAGAAAAACCTGCTGAACAGCTTCAGATTCTTAGACTGAGTGAACTCCTTAACTCTTCAGGATGATTACAACCATATCCATGGAGGCAAGTGGACAGTGAGCAACTTACGCCTGTACCTGGAGAGCACCCGTGGAAAGGAAGTCACCAATAAATTATTTGATGAAATCCACTGGATCATTGTGCAGTCCCTGAAGGCTGTTGCGGTGAGTGCTGCCAGCTGCTGGCTTCCCATAACCATGGAAGTGAGCTGGCCATTCAGACTCCTACATCTCTTTTCTGCTTTTGGAGTGATGGTGTTGATGCTGATTTCTGCAGCTCTCTTATCTCTTGATTTCTTGGTATCGCATGAGATGAGGGAACTGAATCGTGGGTGAGTGAGTGGGTTGAGCTGTCTGTGGATATTTGAAGGAGTGAATAAATTGCTTTCCTTGAGGGATTTGTGAACTATTTTATATTACTTGATACTGCCCTTGTGAATAGTATTAAGTTCTGCCAAAATGTGTGACGTCATTCCAGCAATAACAAATGTGTCAAATTTAAAAAAAAATCTCTGGAGAACAATTTATCAAAGGAAGCCTAAGGATATTAGTTCATCAGAGTTACATAACATACTTTCACCTCATTTATACACAAGTCACAGAGTTATCATGAATTTGTTTAAAGAAAAAAAAAACCAGCAGCCAGTTCTCTGCTTGAGTGACTTTCTAGTGTTGACGTAATATTCTGTGATGACATTACAGGGCAGGTATCGCTCTGGGAGTCAGCTGGGGTAACTGAGGAGCTCAGTGTTGCCAAGGACTCTCCTGGTCCCAAGTACATTGTCTTGTCCTCTCTTTTGGGTTGGTCCTGGCACCATTTAGAGCTGAATCAGCTCACTTGTGCACTGACAATTACCACCTTGCTTTATTGATGGCTTGGTGTTCTGCCAGAGGAATAAGCTGAGTCACTGACGGGGCAGAGGAACACCAGAATCAGCAGGAGAAACAGGGACAAGGTCGTGCAGCTAGGATCAGTGGGAGCTAGGGAAGCATGGCTTAATCTGGCCTCTGCTGTGCAATCATAGCTGAAGGTACTTGGAAGAAGAAAAGGGATATAATCAAATGTTAGTAGAACCTTAGAAGAGGAGAAATGGTGAAAATGATGGAGCATGAAATCTCTTGTTCCTCTGTCCTTCTGACAATGGCAGATGTAATTAGATTCTTGTTCCTCCTCCTCCCTTTCAGTCACTGAAGAAATGAAAAGCTGCATTATTAGTTATGGGGAAAACATCTCAGAAACCTTCAGAAAGTTTTCTCTAAAAGATCTAATGAGCTTCACATAGAAGAAGGTATTATACCATGTTTACTGCAAATGTTTAGCAGGTGCTGGAAAGCTCATGATTCTCTAGAGGGTGTACATCTAAGCACTAAGCACAACTTTATTCTTGGCCTCTCTTGACTTTGGGGTTATAGTTACCTTGAGTAATTAAAATTTTAAAATGTGTTTTGTAATTGTTTGACCTAACATTTCTTTATAGTTATAGCAGCAGAATAAAAGAAATATCTTTTAATTGCTTTTCTAAAGTTTAAAGAATTCACAATTATATTAAGCTGTAAATTTTCAATATTTCTGTTTTCTCCTGATGCATGTGGGCTTTAAATATAGTTATTACCTTTGCAAAGTATAAAAACCACTTATTTTCACTATGGAAACGTAATGGGAAATTAACATAACTTAATACTTGGCATCAATGCAATCATTAGTATTGAAATATTTACATACAGTCTCTGAAAAAGAGGCAATGCTGAACCTACTAGTTAGCAAGCTTATATTTGAGTTACAATACTGAAAAGTGTTGCAGAAAATCCATAATGTCATCATGTGATTTCTAGCAAAGAAAGTGTGTAATTGGGTTACTTACTGAAGAGTAGATTTTAATACATATTACTGTCTTTTCTTTTTCCCCAGCCTGTAATGAATAATGATAAACACTGCTTTGAGTGCTATGGGTATGACATTATCATTGATGACAAGCTTAAACCCTGGCTAATTGAGGTAAAGTTTTATAAAATACAGGAAAAAACTTCCTTCGCATTTCACAGAATAAAACTAAGTAGATTTCAATGTGGTCTGTCCTCTTTTTAAACAATATTTTTTGGTTATTGGGTAAGTGGATTAAGAAAAATACTGGATTGTGAGATAGGTCATGTGATGACCAAGCTAGTGTATGCTTTTATTTCCTTTTTTTTTGTGTTTCTATTTGTCTGTGGCTTTCTGTTTTGGTTTTTAAATCCAGTGCATCCATACAACTGCACTGCAGAGGCAGTCTGAATGTTAGCAGCCCTTTTAAATAATGGATCAGTACCTGGAAAATGAGCATTGACTTGATGGAGCATAACATCAAATTTAGTTTTTAAATGCTGTCGTGGCCTTAATGTTACAGATTGAGAGGAAGCAAAAGGGATATACAAAGTATAAGTAGGATATTTGGAAAGCTTTTCCATTTTTTACATAGATTTCTCTTTTGTATATTAACTTTAGCTTTGTACGTTCAATATAAATTTTATCCATCCCTCTTCCTTCTCAATCTAATTTAAAGTGAACTCCAGAAAAAAAATTGTTTATCATTTTGATACCACTTCTCCAAAATAAATGTGGAACTAAATGAATCCAAGGTTTAATTAAAACAATATACAATGTAGTGTTTTGAATAGAGAGCACTTCCCAGCTCACAATATTACGGGGGACAACTCAGGTAAGAACTTAGAGAAAAGTTGTTTACCCAGAAGAGAGACATAGATTTCTGTGTGTAACAGCAGTTCATGTAAACTGGGCAAATTTTAAGCACTCAAATGTATGGGGTTTGTAACCATGTAAACAGAAAATGAAATAAAAATTCTATCTTGTCTGATTCACCCCGGTGAATCTCATCTCAACAGAAGTCTTCAGGCTGACACTGCAGACACTTAACAGAGTGGTACTTTCCTGTCTAAGTAAAAAGAAGAATGCCCAGTGGGGAATTCCTTGCAGTGCCTGAGGAACTGAAAGATGTGCTCTGAGCCACCAAGGCTCAATTTCCTGTAAGGAACACACAGACTTGGCACAGCTGTTTGGACAACACTCCAAAAAGTGATACTGACTGGTTTTATTTTCCTTTTATAGGTTAATGCTTCCCCTTCTCTTACTTCCAGCACCGCTAATGATCGCATCTTGAAGTACAATCTTATTAACGACACGCTTAACATTGCTGTGCCCAACGGGGAAATTCCTGACTGCAAATGGAATAAATCTCCACCAAAAGAGGTTCTGGGAAATTATGAAGTCTTGTAAGTTTTATCAGTGTTTCATAGAAAGGCCAGTGTTTTTCTTTCACCTCGCTTTTTTTGATGTGTAATGTAGACCAAAATGATAAGGTAAACGTCATTCTGGTATGAAAAATGGGTACCAAGTGCCACTTCATTTCTTTGGAGCTGCATTGGAGGTGGGAGTGCATTAAAGCAGAGTTCCCTTGCCTCATGTTCAGAGAGAATGTCTTCTGATGAGCTCCCACTTGCACCTTCTGAGCTTCCAGCAGCTAGAACAGAGGGTCCAAAGCAAAGAGAATATTGGTATTCTACATGTGCAGAACTTTAATTGTATGGAAGCTAATATATACATGGTACTTAAACAGTTAAAATAATTGGTTCTGGTTTAAAAGTTATTTGATGCAAATTTTCTCTCAGTTCATAGAAATAATGCCTCTTGAGTCCTGTGAATAATGAATGTAATAATAGAATTGTCAAATATTTTTTAAATTCCTCAATCTATATTATAAGGAGAGAAATGAAGGAAACTGAGATTTTTATATTGGAATGTCTGCAAGATTTATCTAGGATTGCTTGGTTTTATGCAGAAAGACACTGATTGAATACCATATTGCTGACACAGCTTCTCATTTTTTTTGAGAAAATGTTAGGATAGGTTCTCTAGCACTAGTAATCCAATTGCTAAATATGTCAGGAATATACTTTATGTACATAGCTGAGCCACCAGTTCATACTCATCTTAAATACTTTTTCTCTATATTAATTAAAAGCAGTTAAATATAAATAAAATCAGATCTGAATTAATATTTAAGATTTTAAGATTTAATGAATGTTACACACATGGTTGCTATGAATACCTATAAAACAGTATAACTAAGTATATATTATGATTTTCCTACAAAATGTTTTAGTATTATTTTTTGTTCATTACAATTACCTATCTATAACCAAATTCTGCTTGGAATTTGCATAGCAGCTGAAATGTCAGTTTATGCTGAAGTTATCTGAGGCTACAATGGATTTGGATATTTACAGAACCACTCATCACTGTGGTTGAGTGTTACCAAATACATGTCCCCAGATGCTTTTTTTTTTTTATCACATGGCTGTTTAGTTCACCTCATTCTTTCCCTTCTCTCTCTGTGATGCAACAGGGGAGTTTTAACACAGCAGCTAACAATCCTCCCTTTGAAGCAGCAGCTCAGGAGTTCCTTAAACTGGCAGCAGGCTGATGTTCTGCTTAAGCACAGACCTGCAGAAGTACATGGGGAACTTCACAAGCACGAAATTTCACAAACTCAGGAGTTTAACTAAAGCTGCCAGATGACTTGTTTCTTTCAAACAGGGGCTGAAGATGTCTCAGGATGATCTGTATTGTAAAATCATAGATTCATAGACTCATAGCTGCATGTCATGCTCTGCCTGCATGAAGCTGTGTGCAGAGCAGCTTGCACCAAGCTGCAGTTCTAGACAGTAAGCAGAATAGAATGTAGGAGTGGAATGTACAGGGCCCAGTGCTGTTTGTGTGGCAGCACAAGGCACTGAAGGGTTTTGTTACCTGCAGATACGATGAAGAGATGGCGCAGAGCGACGGGACTGAGCGCGACCTGCGGGCTCGTCCTGGGCAGCCCACGGGGGTCAAAGGAAGCCGTGCAAGAGAGTCAGGAAAGCCTGTCCTGACCACTTGGAAGTGATGACTGAAGAAACAGCTGGACTCTTGGTAGGAAGACATCAAGAATAACTTGAAGTTTTGGAACAGATCCCTGTGTTTTGCTGCATTGCATGTAGGAAATACTAATGAAGACAAAACAGCCTTTGAAAAGTGAAACAAGCACTCAAAACCCAGGAGCTGTACTAGACATAGACTGGCCTGATAATTATTACAACAAAAGATACAGAGTGTGTATGTATATACGGTTATGTTTATATGATTTGTATAAACAAATTCTCAGTAATGATCAAGAACTTTATTTATAAGGGTGGCAACTCAAATGCATATTCTGAAAGAAACTCCTTGCTGTTCTGGATAGTATTTATTTCCTCCAGTAGCCTATCCCTTCCTGCCTATAATAAATGAACTGTGGATTCTATAAAAGGATGATGGTGTTAAACATTAACATTTTCTCAGTGGTGGTTGAGAGTCTTGTAGTAAAAGAAGAGCAACTAGAAAAACTTAGCAGTACACATATTTGAGGCTGTTGCAAGTTAGTGCAGCTATTGATTTATAACCAGTATGAATACATTGAAAAGCAAGTCTTTATATGCTGAGGGTTGGGGGTTTTTATTTCCTTTGTATGTGCTGAGCTGCTAACTCTTTAAAGGTGGGAAGTTTTATGGACTGAGAGAGGGTTTCAATGGTATATTGATGGACTGTTTTACTAGCCATTAATTTTTATTTTCAGATAGTGGATGTCTGTGAAAAACAGACAGAACAATCAGACACTGTGATAAATCTCATTGCTTGAAGCTGATGATAAATCTTTATTTGCACCAGAATCTCTCAGTGTGTTTATGCATGTATATAAGTCAAATATCTGTATATTTTTGTATATTTTATTTAACAAAAATATTGTTGCACATGGCAAGCTATTTCTGGTATCTATGATAAGAACAGTTGTAATGATTAGCTACCAAAACTAAGATGCAAAACTTAGCTACCAAAGCTAAGGAGCAAAAGTTAAAAATGGGTATTTCAGTCTTCTAACAGCAAAGCATATAAATAAACTAGTGGGGTCTGTGATTGGCTGTTGCTTCCTCTTGACTTTCAACCAGTTATTGGGTGGTTATTTATAAATGGTAACATGCATTGGTTGGTTTTATTCTCCTTCTCCCTCCCTCCTTCCCTCCCTCCTTCCTTCTTCTTTTTTTTTTT